AGGCTGCTTGATACCTGCTTGATGGGGGGGGGGGTTGTGGGAGTTGTTCTGCTCCCCAACAAGCCCGGCCCGAGGCCAGGCTTGACCTGTGAGAGTTTGGTTCAACAGAATGTTGCTTGGAGCGGCCCGCAGGCCCACATATCCACCACAGCCTGGTTGGTCTGGTACATCTTTTAAGAAACTATTTAGTTTTCTCTTGAAGATTTCCACGGTTGTTCTGGTAATATTTCTTTTACTCGCTGGGAGGATGTTGAACAACCGCGGACCTCTGATGTTTATACAGTGTTCTCTGACTGTGCCTATGGCACCTCTGCTCTCCACTGGTTCTGTTCTGCATTTCCTTTCATGTCGTTTACTCCAGTACGTTGTTATTTTACTGTGTAGATTTGGGACCTGGCCCTCCAGTATTTCCCATGTATATATTACTTGATATATCTCTATTAGAGGGCAACTAAATCTCTCGGTCATTCACCTCGTTGTTTCCATCAGTAAATAAACCACCAGCTAGAGTCATAGAGCCTTAGACCCCAATATTAGTTGCTCACTCCTAGCATCTTCCAACTGAGGACACAATAACCACGACCCTAAACTGAGGACAGGCAACCATGGTCATTCTGAACTGAACAACCGGTCGGCCGAGCGGACAGCACACTGGACTTGTGATCCTGTGGTCCCGGGTTCGATCCCAGGCGCCGGCGAGAAACAATAGGCAGAGTTTCTTTCACCCTATGCCCCTGTTACCTAGAAGTAAATTAGGTACCTGGGAGTGAGACAGCTGTCACGGGCTGCTTCCTGGGGGTGGAGGCCTGGTCGAGGACCGGGCCGCGGGGACACTAAAGCCCCGAAATCATCTAAAGATAACCAGTTACCCGCAAAATAGCTGTATGACTCTCCAAAGAGTTCATGCTCGTTCAATTCACCAAAGCACTTAACGCAAGCACTTACGAACGTGTACATCTTTCCTCAATCTTTGACGGCTTTGGTTACATTTATTAAACCGTTTATAAGCATGAAAACTTGCCAATCAACTGTTGTTATTGTTATAAACAGCCTCCTGGTGCTTCGGAGCTCATTAACTGTTTAATAACTGTAAACAAAGCCGCCAAGGATTGAGAAAAGACGTACAGGTTCGTAAGTGCTTTCGTGAATCTGGCCCCGGGTCTTTGACCAGGCATCCTGGTGGTGTGGTTAGGTTGACAGCGCTGTTGGACAAAGCCTGACGTACGAATCACTGCCTGGTTGATCAGGTTGGAGGTGTTTATCGAGTTCTCTTTTTGAACACCATGAGACGTTGGCCATTTATACCCCATATGTGTAGAGAGTGGATACCTGCTTGATGGGGTTCTGGGGGGCAGTTCTACTCCCCAAGCCCGGCCGGAGCAGTCTTGATCCCTTGATGTTGATAGTTCTCTCTCAACGTACTTATTGCACCTCTGTTTTTTTTCAAGTTTTTTTCAACGGGGGTATTGTGCACTCGGTGCTATACCTCCTGGTCTTATATCCTGGCAGTGACCGCAACCTGTCCTCTTAAAAAGAACGTCGCTTTTGGCCGTTTACCCGTATGGCCGAATATGGACGTAATTTGAAAATGAAAAAAAAATAATATAAATTTGGGATTTTTTTTTCAACAACATAAGTTAAGGGTCCTCTGATAGGTTATGTGGGCAGGAAATTCTCATAAAGTTTCAAAACGTTATGAAAAACGTTAATGGAAAGAATCCTCTTCTAAGCTAGCCGAGTAAGCCGGACGACTCAAACAGAAAACGGAATAGTATGTTGGACGCCAGTTAGTCGCCCATGGACATACACATAGGGTGACCTAATACCCTCTTAAGCTAAACAACTTAATAAGTATCAACAACGTGTCAGCAGATTTGAATGCAATCTACTCTGCTGCAGACCACAGACCTCAGACACACCCCGGGCATCAGAGCGTCTACACGCGCTCCCTTACACACTCTACAAGCTAGTTCGTGGCCCGTGTAGAAGATAAAATATATATATATATATATTTATAATAAAACTAAGAAAAAGCAGTGGACGTTTGGTACTCCAATTCCTGCCCACAACCTAATCATTCTACAACGACATCGACCGATGTTACAAGTACGTCACTTTTGTGAGTCGATTTCATTTTAAATTACGTCCAAATTTGGCCATAGCGCGCATACCAGCGAAAAGTGACGTTATTTTTAAGAGGACGGGTTGTTGACCTATACTTTTAAAGCAGAGTCCGAAGACTTTAGCCTTTCTCGGGCCTATTCTGGGACAATAATCACCCTCTTAACAATGGGTACCAAAAAAAGACACAAAGAGAATGTATACGCAGAGAGGTGTAACCCCATTCACATTGTGCATGTGCACTGATAGTTTAATTTTAGTCCAGGACTATGTTGAGGACTGAAGTAGTAGTCTTGGTGGTTGATCAGTAATCTATTGTGGTGGCCTTAATGACCTTTTAGAGGTTGATAGGTCTTCTTGAGGTTATCTTGAGATGATTTCGGGGCTTTTTTGTGTCCCCGCGGCCCGGTCCTCGACCAGGCCTCCACCCCCAGGAAGCAGACCGTGACAGCTGACTAACACCCAGGTACCTATTTACTGCTAGGTGGATAGGATCATCAGGGTGAAAGAGACGAACCCGGGGATCGAACCCGGAACTATAGGACTACGAATCCCGAGCGGTGTTCACTCAGCCGTAAGGGCCCCTTCAGGAGAATGGGGTTGTTTAAGACGTGGCAAGTGGAGAGGTGACTTAGTAAACAATCTTGTTTCTCTAGGGTCGTGATTGCTAAGAAACGTTTCTCTAGGGACGTGGTTGCTAGGAAACAGTTTCTGCTACTCAAGTGTTGCTAGTGTGGGCTAGTAGATTACCCTCATATCTCCTGCTTATCTCTGATACCGTATATGACTAATATCATGTGAGGATGGGATATTACATGAACTCGTAGCTTGCTAGAATAATAATATTTTGTTTACGTAAAGACGTTATATACATTTGGTATATGAAATAGTGGATAATTCGTAGGTAGGAAATATATACACGACATGAAACCTTACTTACCTACCTTAAGGTGCTTCCGGGGCTTAGTGTCCCCACGGCCCGGTCGTCGACCAGGCCTCCTGGTTGCTGGACTGATCAACCAGGCTGTTGGACGCGGTTGCTCGCAGCCTGACGTAAGAATCAGTAAGTACCTGATCGAATCAAACCAGCAGTACTGATTAACAAATCCACAAGGGCCGTGACGAGGATTCGAACCTGCGTCCAGGTTCATCCCAGACACTGCCTTAATCGACTGAGCTACGACAGGGTAAAAGGGTTGAAACCGAAGTTCTACTGAACTTACTGGATCCCGTAGCCTCTCCGAGGCACAAACCAGGCTTTTACACAACCTCCCCCCTCCCCTGCACCCGAGCTATGTCAACCCTTTTACCCTGTCGTAGCTCAGTCGATTAAGGCAGTGTCTGGGATGCTCCCGGACGCAGGTTCGAATCCTCGTCACGGCCCTTGTAGATTTGTTCAGTTGATGCATCACGTTAGTGTGATCTCTGTGTGCTATTACCCAAACTTTGTAATAATGAAATACAGAACAGGTTACAACTTCCCCAGTGTACGAATGACAGTATTTACATATTTGTGACGTCGGTAACCTTGGGCACTGGTTACAGTGGGAGTGGAGCTACTAGACTGAACTTGAAATCAATACAAGCGAGTGAATGGCAGCATGTTGTGGTGACCTTGTAAATGATGGTAGTAGGTGAGCACGTGTAAACTCTATTACAAGACGTAGTAGCCAGGTGGTCATGAATGAATGAATGGATCCTTTACAGAGACGTGTGTTTTGATGGGGCTGTCTCTATATTTACTATTTGTATCTGCAGAATCGAGCTTGGATCCCCACCTTCCTAACCAATGTGTTTTCCCTCTATTATCTACATCTTAACACACACACATCCCCCAGGAAGCAGCCCGTAGCAGCTGTCTAACTCCCAGGTACCTATTTACTGCTAGGTAACAGGGGGGCATCAGGGTGGAAGAAACTCTGCCCATTTGTTTCTGCCTCTACCGGGGATGGAACCCGGGCCCTTAGGACTACGATCCCAGAGCGCTGTCCACACTGCTCAGAGGCCTGTGTGTCTTCTCTTTCTCTATCTTTCTCTATCTTTCTCTATCTTTCTCTACCTATCTCTACCTATCTGTTTTAACAGGCATGGCGATGCCAGGGTAAAAAGAGCTTTTCTGACTTAATTTTAATGTCAAGATTGCAATGTTTGTACTTAATAACCGTACTCTGACAGTTTAGACTCAAGCAGAGGTTCCCAATCAGTGGTCATGGGAGGAATTACAAGTGGTCCAAGGCACTGCTTGATATCTGCACTCCTACTCTGTATATACTGTGTATATACTGTGTATATACTGTGTCTACTGTGCACTCCTACCTACTACTGTGTTAAACAGATGTCTCCAGTTATAATTTACATGCGGTTGTAACTGGCAATAATAATGCCGGGGCTTGTCACAAAGGATTGTATTTGTATCGTGATTGTATCGAATGTATTTGTATTGTTGTATGGTGACACTGTGGTTGGAAGAGGAGAATGGGAGGAAAAAAGTTTAGGTATCGGCCACGAAACTCAAAATGAAGACATTTTTATGTGAATGGTGTTTTCTGGAATATTGGGTCTCAAACCCAACTCACTCAAGCCTTATGACCTAACCAAATACATCTTAACCTAACGGAGAGGTCTGAGAGGATCAGGTTCATTTTTGCAATGTACTCATCTCTTTTTAGGATGTACACAATGTACTCATCTCTTTTTAGGATGTACACAATGTACTCATCTCTTTTTAGGATGTACACAATGTACTCATCTCTTTTTAGGATGTACACAATGTACTCATCTCTTTTTAGGATGTACACAATGTACACATCTCTTTTTAGGATGTGCACAATGTGCACATCTCTTTTTAAGATGTACACAATGTACACATCTCTTTTTAGGATGACGTATAATGGTGACTTGTCGTCTCTCCTTACTACCTCTCCTTGTTGACATGGAGGCTCTTTAACTGCCGCTCTGAGCTCCAGGGGCAGTATAGTGCTCTTGTATGTCCCCTAGGGTCTTCCCTCCATCTTCATACATCATATACATGTCATACCATACATCTATCATACATGTCATACCATACATCATATCATACATGTCATACCATACATCATATCATACATGTCATACCATACATCTATCATACATGTCATACCATACATCTATCCTCAGGGAGGGAGGTCCCATGGAAATGATCACTACTAAAACCACTCTAATGCTATTTATTACTACTAGTTAATGTTAGGTGAGGGTTAGGGTTAGGTATTTAAGGTTAGGTGAAAGGTAGGTTAAAGTTTGGTTTCATTAGGTTTCATTATGTTAATACGCTGTATTATTCTCAAACACGTGAAAAAGAAAATTATAAAAAAAGTCTTAATTCCCCTAAGCATTTCATTTATAGAAAACCAAATTCCTCAGATCGTTGACATTGTTTTAAACCAAAGATTTATAATACAATAAAGTTATAACTTGAAAATATTCTCCGTTAAGGAGAAAGGTCTTATTACTGGAGCCGTAATGTGCTTTCAGACCATTACAGATATGGAGGGTAGGTGGCCTAGTGCTAATGGTGAGGTTTTGTTGGTTTCAGGAGGCGGTGGGGACAGGCCATGAGGGCAGTGGACGCTTGCCAACCCCTCCTCAGCAGCAGCAGCAGCAGCAGCAGCAGCCGCAGCAGCAGCAGCAGCAGCAGCAGCAGCAGCCGCCGCCGCAGCAGCCGCAGCAGCCCCGCTCGCCGCACCAGCAGCAGCTGCAGCTGGCGGGGATGAGGGTGTCGCCTGCACCACCGCTGACTGCAGGAGCCAACCCACCACACCCTCCCCACTCACCGCACATGTCTCCCGCTGTAGGTCAGTACCCATACTCTCCTACTCCCTCCTCTCCTACACTGCCCTTCTTCTACACACACAGTGCTCTCACTCACTCGCACGCACGCGCACACACCCAAACACACACCCGGGACCAAACAGCCAAAGCTCTCAACCCCAACTTCAGCATGGGTTCAGGGATGGCAAGTCCATGTCTCAAAGGATTAATTGAATTCTATGACCTGGCGACACAAATCAAGCAAGAAAGGGGTGGGCAGACTGCATATTTTTGGATTTCCAGAAAGCCTTTGACACAGTACCACACAAGAGACTAGTGCACAAGCTGCACTCACTGGAGATGCAGGCTGGAATGAAAGGAAGGTACTCCATTTCATAAGGGAGTACCTAAGCAACAGAAGACAGCGAGTCAATGTGAAGGGTAAGGCCTCGGAGTGGCGAGGCGACACCAGTGGAGTCCCACAGGGTTCAGTCCTTGGACCTATACTGTTTCTGATATACTGTATGTAAATGATCTCCCAGAGGGTATAGACTTGTTCCTCTCAATGTTTGCTGATAATGCAGAAATTAAGAGGAGGATTAAGACAGAGGAAGATAGTAGGAGGCTACAAGATGACCTAGACAAACTGAATGAATGGACCAACAAATGGCTACTAAAGTTCAACCCGAGTAAATGTAAGGTAATGAAACTAGGTGGTGGAAACAGGAGGCCAGACACATTATACCGAATGGGAGATGAAGTCCTTCATCAACCGGGCAGAGAGAAAGATCTAGGAGTTGATATCATCCCAAACATGTCTCCTGAAACCCACATGAAAAGAATAACATCAGCGGCGTATGCAAGGCTTGCTAACATCAGGACTGCCTTCAGGAACATGTATAAGGAATCATTCAGAACCTTGTACTATGTATGTAAGACCAATCCTGGAATATGCGGCCTCAGCATGGAGCCCGTACCTTGTCAAGCACAAGACGAAGCTGGAAAAAGTTCAAGAGGTATGCCAATAGGCTTGTCTCAGATATGAGAGGCATGAGTTACAAGGAAAGGCAAAGAGGCTGCACCTCACGTCGCTAGAAGACAGAAGAGCTCTGGGAGACATGACCACCACTTACACAATTCTTAGAGGAATTGACAGGTGATAAAGATAAAATGTTTAACATCACACATCACACACACACACACACACACACACACACACACACACACACACACACACATACACATACACATACACATACACACACACACACACACACACACACACACACACACTCAAAACAAATTAACTTATTGTAATTATAACATTATAATATTTTGCTGGTGTAGAGTTGGAGTTTATTGTGTATAAACAATTCTGAGAGGAGCGTGTCACGAACTGGGCGAGAACGTGAGAGTGTATCTGTGAGGTGCGTGGTGCTTGTTGTTTTCTGTGTGGAGGAGGGGGGACATTGGGCGGGTGTTGGTGGTGGCCGGTGGTGGTGTGGTGACCCGTGGTGGTGTGGTGACCCGTGGTGGGGTGGTGACCCGTGGTGGGGTGGTGAGGTTCACCTCATTGATAGGGGTGTGTGTGAGGGGGGGGGGGGTTGTGTACACTCACCTAGTTGTGCTTGCGGGGGAGAGGGGGGGGGAGGGTGTTTTCACCTGTTTGATACCTGGTTGATGGGGTTCTGGGAGTTGTTCTACTCCCGAAGTCCGGCCCTAGGCCAGGCTTGATTTGAGAGCTTGGTCCACCAGGCTGTTTCTTGGCCGTTTGCCCGTATGGCCGAAAATTGACGTAATTTGAAAGTAAAAAAATAATTGAACATAATTTTGGATTTTTGTTTTCCAAAACAGCAAGTTAAGGGTCCTGTCGTAGGGTATTAGGGCAAAAAGTTTTCCTAAAGTTTCAAAACGTCATGAAAATCGTTAATTTAAAGTTTCCTCTCCAAACTTTACCGACCCAAACCGAAATCGGTACAGTACATCACTTTCGTGAGCCGATTTCATTGCAAATTACGTCCATTTTTGGCCATTTGGCGCATGCAAGCGAAAAGCCACGTTATTTTAATTGGACGGGTTGGTACATGTTCTCTGTATTCCCTCTATTTCAACAATCTCTCCTGCTCTGAAGAGGGGAAGTGAGTACTGAGCAGTACTCAAAACGGGACAACACAAGTGATTTGAAGAGTACAACCATTGTGATGGGATCCCTGGATTTGAAAGTCCTCGTAATCCATCCTATCATTTTTCTGGCTGACGCAATATTTGCTTGGTTATGCTCCCTAAACGTTAGGTCGTCGGACATCATTATTCACTATTCCTTTACATGCTGTTTTCCTACTATGGGCAGATTTGATTGTGTTTTGTACCCTGTATTATGTTTAAGGTAATTTTACCATTCCTGAGTACCTGAAATTTACCACTGTTAAACATCATGTTATTGTCTGCAGCACAGTCGAAAACTATTAATATCTGCTTATAGTTTTTCAATGTCTTCAACAGAAGTAATTTTCATGCTGATATTTTATTCATCTGCAAAGGATGATGCAAAAGCTGTGACTTGTATTAGAGTCTATATCTGATATGAGAATAAGGAAAATCAGTGGTGCAAGGACTGTACCCTGAGGTACAGAGCTTTTAACTGCACTTGGACTCGATTTTATATGGTTGACTGTTACTCTTTGTGTTCTGCTCGACAGAAAATTGAGTATCCAGCGTCCTACTTTACCAGTTATTCCCATTGACCTCATTTTGTGTGCTATCACCCCATGGTCACATTTGTCGAATGCCTTTACAAAGTCCGTGTATACCACATCTGCATTCTGCTTTTCTTCTAATGCCTCAGTGATTTTGTCATAATGGTCGAGTAGCTGTGAGAGGCAGGATCTTCCTGCTCTAAATCCATGTTGGCCTGGGTTGTGGAGGTCATTGGTTTCCATGAAACTAGTGACCTGACTCCTGATCACTCTCTCAAATACTTTTATTATGTGGGACGTTAGTGCAACTGGTCTATAATTCTTTGGTTGGTTGGTATAATTCTTTGCTTGGAGCGGCCCGCAGACATACCACCACAACCCGGTTGGTCCAGCATTTCTGCTTGCATATCTAGGTGTCAATACATTTTGTTTTGGACGTAAAAACACTTTGCCCCAATAGTGTTTACTCTAGGAATGCCTAGAGTGAACCATTATCTACCTTCAGGAATGCAGTTTGTAATAGATACTATGTGATGATTATTGAAATGTGAAATGTAAAATATTATTATTGGTCCACTGTATTTTTTTTTATCTTGACGGACTTGAAATAGAGGAGGGTAGAAATATCCTAAGTTACTCTAAACCTTTTGACCCAGCCACTTGGGCTGGACGGTAGAGCGACGGTCTCCCTTCATGCAGGTCGGCGTTCAATCCCCGACCGTCCAAGTGGCTGGGCACCATTCCTTCCCCCGTCCCATCCCAAATCCTTATCCTGACCCCTTCCAAGTGCTATATAGTCGTAATGGCTTGGCGCATTCTCCTCATAGTTCCCCTTCTAAACCTTTTGACGTGTATTTTCTTATCTCGTTAAACGTGCTTGAACTTTATATCACTGTTAAAACATACTATAACGAGGTTATCTTGTCTTGAGGGGGTTTCGTGAATCAATGACATCGCGGGCCGGTCTATCTTGTGATAGACCGGCCTTGTATTGCCTTGTGTATTACCTGTATGTGACCTTGTATTAATTCCAAGAGATCAACGTTTCCTCTGGCCGGTCCCAAACCAGGCCTCCTGGTTGGCGGTGTGGTCAACCAGGCTGTTGGAGACAGCTGCTCGCAGTCTGGCGTGTGAAATAGGGGACGCTTTAAACAATGTAATTGGTTCAAGTTGTTCTAAGAAGTAATCTGACTCAGCCTAACTATAAAGAGAAGAATTAAGATAATTCCAGGAGGGCCATTGGTCTATACGAGGCAGCTGCTACTTATATCCACCCCAAACTGATTCATTTACATGTCTAACCTACGCGTGAAACACTCCAGTGATCCCTCGTGTTGTATTTTACCTGGTAAATTTTTCCATAAGTCAACAACTCTGTTTCCAAATTTATCTTATTTGTATCATTGTTTCGTGTTCATGTCTTGATATAATTCATATCTTCTTAATATCACCTTTCTTTTGCCATTCGTTCACTTGTACACTTTAGTCATGTCACCCTTAATTCTTCGCCTTTCTTGGGAATGTAAATTATAGGAATTATACATTCTTTTAACGCAAACCACATTATTACATTCTAGGGAATGTAAGAATGTGGTTTGGTTACCTTGAGGTTTTTTCGGGGTTCAAGGTCCTTGCGGCCCGGGTGTCGACCAGGCCTCCTGGTTGCTGGATTGGTCAACCAGGCTGTTGCACTCTGCTCCTCGCAGCCTGATCTTTGATATCAGGTATCCTTTGGAGGTGTTTATCCAGTTCTCTCTTGAACACTGTGAGGGGTCGGCCAGTTATGCCCCTTATGTGTATTGGAAGCGTGTTGAACAGTCTCGGGCCTCTGATGTTGATAGTTCTCTTTCTGAGTACCTGTTGCACCTCTGCTCTTCAACCGGGGTATTTTGCACATCCTGCCATGTCTTCTGGTCTCATGTGGTGTTATTTCTGTGTGCAGGTTTGGGACCATCCCCCCTAATATTTTCCACGTGTAAATTATTATGTATCTCTCCCGCCTGCGCTCAATAGAATATAGATTTAGGCTCTTTAGTCGGTCCCAGTAGTTTAGATGTTTTACTGAGTGGATTCTAGCACTAAAGGATCTCTGCACATACTCCAGGTCAGCAATTTCTCCAGCTTTGAAAGGGGCTGTCATTGTGCAGTAGTACTCCACTCTAGAGAGTACAAGCGTTTTGAAAAGTATCATCATCGGTATAGCATCTCTAGTGTGAAAAGTTCTTGTTATCCAACCTGTCATTTTTCTTGCAGTTGTGACGGCTACTTTATTGTGTTCTTTAAAGGTAAGGTCTTCCGACATGAGTACACCCAGATCCTTTACATTGCTTTTCCGTTTTAATTGTTAACGTTACTATAAATAAATCCTAATATCTTATTTGCCTCATTTCGAACATTTATTCTCGATGCAGGCGATGAGTCACAATAACGTGGCTGAAGTATGTTGACCAGACCACACACTAGACGGTGAAGGGACGACGACGTTTTGGTCCGTCCTGGACCATTCTCAAGTCGACTTCACAACTCTATTTGTCGGCATTAAACTCTTATCTGCTAATCTTTCGTCCATTTCAAAAACTTATCTTTATCTTCTTGAAAGAGATTTCGGGCCTTTTAATTTCCATCCCCCTGTTTAGATAGTATCTTTTGTGACTATCGTCAGTAGTCAGGAATTAGTACGTTCTTAGATTTTAGATAATGGTATACGGACTGATTAAGAATTCTTTTAAAATAAATGAAGGTAATACACAAACTTGAATATTCTTGGACCTAGTATAGTACACATATGTACTATATTAGGCCTCAGATATCGTATATTAGGCTTAGGGTGGTTAGGTTAGATTAGTTTGTCAAAGCAAATAGTATGAAGCTTGTTATTTTTGTTTGTGAAGCGGTGCACAAGTTATTGCGTGGTAGTTATTGTTATCTTGGGAGGATATGTTGCAAGATGATCACATAACACACGTTATCAAAGCGTGCAGATAACTCGAGTAAGTTACAAAGTAAAATCTAGAGCATTCAACGTGACAAAGCTCGATCCCGCGAGGTACTTCTTCCTCCTTAGGGGCCCCTGATAGCTGAGTGGACAGCGCTCGGGATTTGTAATCCTGAGGTTCCGGGTTCGATCCCCGGTGGAGGCGGAAACAAATGGGCAGAGTTTATTTCATACTGATGCCCCCTGTTCACCTAGCAGTAAATAGGTACATGGGAGTTAGACAGCTGTTACGAGCTGCTTCCTGGGGGTGGAGGGGGGGGGGGGGGTGTAACAAAAAGGAGGCCTGGTCGAGGACCGGGCCGCGGGGACGCTAAGCCCCGAAATCATCTCAAGATAACCTCAAGATACCTTCTCATCCTTATGAATATGTGGATGCTGCTCCAAGCAACAGTCTGTTGGACCAAGCTCTCACAAGTCAACTTGGGTAGAACACCTCCCAGAACCCCATCAAGCGGGTGTCGAGCATAGACAAGGACAAAAACTATAGCAAGGAGAAGAACCGGAGTAGAACCGTTTTAAGTAGAAGAACAGGAGCCGGTGGCTGAGCGGACAGAACACTGTACGCGTGATCCTGTTGTCCCGGGTTAAATCCCGGGTGCCGGCGAAAAACAATGGGCAGAGTTTCTGTCACTTTGACGCCCCTGTTACCTAGCAGTAAATAGGTACCTTGGAGTTAGTCAGCTGTCACGGGCTGCTTCCTGGGGGTGGAGGCCTGGTCGAGGACCGGGCCGCGGGGACACTAAAAGCCCCGAAATCATCTCAAGATAACCTCTTAAACCCCACGTTAGAAAAAGACACGTAAAATGCTTGGGAATAATTGCATGGGAAATCTATACTATTAACAAATACAATAGAGTAGCTGTTAAAACTGCATGAAACAATGAGTGGCTGAAGTGTAAGAACATCAACAAGGAAGTGCCAAGCCATTGATAGTACTTTTTAAGACACTAGTGCCATCTAGAGTGGAATATTGCTTCACATTCACTAACACCATTCATACCTGGAGAAGTTGCTGACGTGCAGAATGTTAAGACAACTTTTACTCTCCAAATCCATTCAATAAATTTAAATTAGAGACTACTTAAAATCCTCAAACTGCACTGGAGCGTAGACGAGTGACCGATATAATGTTCCCGACGCGTCCAAGCGGTTGGGCACCAATCCTTCCCCCCCCCCGGTCCCATAACTAATCCTTATCCTCGCCCCTTCCAAGTGTTATATAGTTGTCATGGCTTGGTGCTTCTACCTGATAATTCACCCCCCGCCTCGGGGCCAGTGTCACCCCCCCGCCTCGGGGTCAGTGTTACCCCCCCCCCGCCTCGGGGCCAGTGTCACCCCCCCGCCTCGGGGCCAGTGTCACCCCCCCGCCTCGGGGCCAGTGTCACCCCCCCGCCTCGGGGCCAGTGTCACCCCCCGCCTCGGGGCCAGTGTCACCCCCCCCCCCGCCTCGGGGCCAGTGTCACCCCCCCGCCTCGGGGCCAGTGTCACCCCCCCGCCTCGGGGCCAGTGTCACCCCCCCCTCCTCGGGGCCAGTGTCACCCCCCGCCTCGGGGCCAGTGTCACCCCCCCGCCTCGGGGCCAGTGTCACCCCCCCGCCTCGGGGCCAGTGTCACCCCCCCCGCCTCGGGGCCAGTGTCACCCCCCGCCTCGGGGCCAGTGTCACCCCCCCGCCTCGGGGCCAGTGTCACCCCCCCCCGCCTCGGGGCCAGTGTCACCCCCCCGCCTCGGGGCCAGTGTCACCCCCCCCCCGCCTCGGGGCCAGTGTCACCCCCCCGCCTCGGGGCCAGTGTCACCCTCACCCCGCCTCGGGGCCAGTGTCACCCTCACCCCGCCTCGGGGCCAGTGTCACCCCCCCCGCCTCGGGGCCAGTGTCACCCCCCCCGCCTCGGGGCCAGTGTCACCCCCCCGCCTCGGGGCCAGTGTCACCTCCCCGCCTCGGGGCCAGTGTCACCCCCCCCCCGCCTCGGGGCCAGTGTCACCCCCCCGCCTCGGGGCCAGTGTCACCTCCCCGCCTCGGGGCCAGTGTCACCTCCCCGCCTCGGGGCCAGTGTCACCCCCCCCCCGCCTCGGGGCCAGTGTCACCCCCCCCCGCCTCGGGGCCAGTGTCACCCCCCCCGCCTCGGGGCCAGTGTCACCCCCCCGCCTCGGGGCCAGTGTCACCCTCACCCCGCCTCGGGGCCAGTGTCACCCCCCCCGCCTCGGGGCCAGTGTCACCCCCCCGCCTCGGGGCCAGTGTCACCCCCCCGCCTCGGGGCCAGTGTCACCCCCCCGCCTCGGGGCCAGTGTCACCCCCCCGCCTCGGGGCCAGTGTCACCCTCACCCCGCCTCGGGGCCAGTGTCACCCCCCCCCCCGCCTCGGGCCCAGTGTCACCCCCCCCGCCTCGGGGCCAGTGTCACCCCCCCCGCCTCGGGGCCAGTGTCACCCCCCCCCGCCTCGGGGCCAGTGTCACCCCCCCGCCTCGGGGCCAGTGTCACCCCCCCGCCTCGGGGCCAGTGTCACCCCCCCGCCTCGGGGCCAGTGTCACCCCCCCCCGCCTCGGGGCCAGTGTCACCCCCCCCCCGCCTCGGGGCCAGTGTCACCCCCCGCCTCGGGGCCAGTGTCACCCCCCCCCGCCTCGGGGCCAGTGTCACCCCCCCCGCCTCGGGGCCAGTGTCACCCCCCCCGCCTCGGGGCCAGTGTCACCCCCCCCGCCTCGGGGCCAGTGTCACCCCCCCCGCCTCGGGGCCAGTGTCACCCCCCCGCCTCGGGGCCAGTGTCACCCCCCCCGCCTCGGGGCCAGTGTCACCCCCCCGCCTCGGGGCCAGTGTCACCCCCCCCCGCCTCGGGGCCAGTGTCACCCCCCCCCCGCCTCGGGGCCAGTGTCACCCCCCCGCCTCGGGGCCAGTGTCACCCCCCCCCGCCTCGGGGCCAGTGTCACCCCCCCCCCCGCCTCGGGGCCAGTGTCACCCCCCCCCGCCTCGGGGCCAGTGTCACCCCCCCCCGCCTCGGGGCCAGTGTCACCCCCCGCCTCGGGGCCAGTGTCACCCCCCCCCCGCCTCGGGGCCAGTGTCACCCCCCCCCCGCCTCGGGGCCAGTGTCACCCCCCCCGCCTCGGGGCCAGTGTCACCCCCCCCGCCTCGGGGTCAGTGTCACCCCCACCCCCCCCCCCCCCGCCTCGGGGCCAGTGTCACCCCCCCCCCCGCCTCCGGGTAACAAACATTCGTGCAATAATGTTTGTGAATTAATAGAAAATGAATCAGGGTACCGTAATATATGGTAGTAACTTTCTCGACTGTTGTGTCTAGCATTCTGTTAGTCCATTCCATTGATATGACGTCATGATGAAGATGACTTTCAGATCTCTATGGACTTGATCGTGTCTCATGTTCACTCATTGTAGGTTGTTAATATGACGTGTGTGCGCGTGCGTGGGCGTGAGTGCGCTTATATACGTGAGTGCGTGTGTACGCGCGTGCGCAGACGCGCGCCTGGCGTTCAGAGATTGCGGGATTGTAAAGTTTTTTTTTTATTTGTATTCGCCACCAGATATCCGGGGTCGTCTCCTCCATCCCCAGCAACTCGCTTTTCTCCACCACTACCACAATCTCCGCCACCACCACCCCAGCACCGCCCCCTCCACCACCACCACAACTACCACCACCACCCCAGGGGGGTCGTCTGCCACACCACCACCATCTGATGTTTCTGCCACCTCCTCCTCCTCCATGATAACTGCAGGTTTCTGAACTGTTTTTTTTTTCACTCAAAATCATCGTGTCTGTGGTGGGTGTGCGTGTCTGTGGTGGGCGTGCGTGTCTGGTGGGCGTGGTGGGTGTGCGTCTCTGTGGTGGGTGTGGTGGGTGTGCGTGTCTGTGGTGGGTGTGCGTGTCTGGTGGGTGTGCGTGTCTGTGGTGGGCGTGGTGGGTGTGTGTCTCTGTGGTGGGTGTGGTGGATGTGCGTGTCTGGTGGGCGTGGTGGGCGTGCGTGTCTGTGGTGGGTGTGCGTGTCTGTGGTGGGCGTGGTGGGTGTGCGTGTCTGGTGGGCGTGGTGGGTGGGCCTGTCTGTGGTGGGTGTGCGCGTGTCTGTGGTGGGCGTGGTGGGTGTGCGTGTCTGTGGTGGGTGTGCGTGTCTGTGGTGGGCGTGGTGGGTGTGCCTGTCTGTGGTGAGTGTGCGTGTCTGTGGTGGGTGTGCGTGTCAGTGGTGGGCGTGGTGGGTGTGCGTGTCTGGTGGTGGGTGTGCCTGTCTGTGGTGGGTGTGCTTGTCTGTGGTGGGTGTGCCTGTCTGTGGTGGGCGTGGTGGGTTTGGTGGGTGTGCGTGTCTGTGGTGGGTGTGCGTGTCTGTGGTGGGTGTGCGTGTCTGTGGTGGGTGTGCGTGTCTGTGGTGGGTGTGCGTGTCTGTGGTGGGTGTGCGTGTCTGTGGTGGGTGTGCGTGTCTGTGGTGGGTGTGCGTCTGTGGTGGGTGTGCGTCTGTGGTGGGTGTGCGTGTCTGTGGTGGGCGTGCGTGTCTGTGGTGGGTGTGCGTCTGTGGTGGGTGTGCGTCTGTGGTGGGTGTGCGTGTCTGTGGTGGGCGTGGTGGGTGTGCGTGTCTGTGGTGGGTGTGCGTGTCTGTGGTGGGCGTGGTGGGTGTGCGTCTGTGGTGGGTGTACGTGTCTGTGGTGGGTGTGCGTGTCTGTGGTGGGCGTGGTGGGTGTGCGTGTCAGCTGTGGGCGTGGTGGGTTACCTGGTTGATGGGGTTCTGGGAGTTCTACTCCCCAAGCCGGAAAGCGGAAACGTAGCCGAATGGCAGACGGTGTCAGAACCTTCACAAGAAAGGATGTTTGAGAGGTTCCAGACGGTCCCAAAAATATATATATATTATGTACACATGTACCGTATATGTTCCTACCATGTCAACAATCTCTCCCCCTCTGAAGTGCCAGCGAGTACCCAGCGAGTACTCCAGATTGACTTATTCTTTCCATTCTGTTTGACTGGAAGTTGAAAATCCATCACCCTACTTTACCTATTTAATAGTTGACCAGACCACACACTGGAAGGTGAAGGGACGACGACGTTTCGGTCCGTCCTGGACCATTCTCAAGTCGAACACAGTCGACTTGAGAATGGTACAGGGCGCAATAGACTTGAGAATGGTCCAGGACGGACCGAAACGTCGTCGTCCCTTCACCTTCTAGTGTGTGGTCTGGTCAACTTACTTTAGCCACGTTGTGACTCATCGCCTGCCTATTTAATAGTTATTCCTATTAACCATTTTCCTTTAATAGTTATTCCTTTTAACCTTATTTTCTACGCTATCACTCCATGGTGACATTTATCAAATGCCTTTGCGAAGTCTGTGTTTACAACACGTGAATTTTCTGCTTTTCTTAACACTTTAGATTTCTGCCCGCCAAACACACACCGAAACTACGACGTTGGTACAACGTTCGAACAAGTTTTAACACCTCCTAACCAGTTCTAACAACCAATATAGCAAGTTGTAACAACGTTCTAATACGTCATAAACACGTTAAGCCAAGATATAACAACTTTATTACAAGTTGTAACAAGCGGAAAATAGAGACAGTTTCGGTTTGTGTTTCCAGGGTGGGGGCAGTCATTTTAAGCCCATCTGAAGTCGGATCGATGCTGTGGGTTTGAGTGATTTTGGGTCAGGATTGGCACAGAATCTGTTGATGTAGAAAGATTGGGGGGGGGTGTACAAATATAAATACGACATTGTATGATTAGTTTATAAGAGTTCTGCTGATAACCTCAACTTCCTAGGACAGTTTAGCATCATTCGAATTCTAAGCTAAATGTCGCTCACTATGTGCCTAAATGTACTTTTAGATTGCTATATACGTGTATAATGTAGCCAGCATTGTAATGATGGCTACAAGGGGTTAAAGAGTTGGGTTAAGAGTTAAGAGTTAGCTGTTAAGAGTTAGGTTTGTGGGTCTCATAAGGACGATGGCTACTTGCTGCTCTGGTATGGTAACTTGTGTTATTAATGTACTGTTCTTTCTATGTAAACTTTACCAACTACATATGTACTAGCATTTATGAATACGGTTTTTATTGTATGAGTGAGTACCAAGTTATGAATGTGAGTGAGGCAGGGAAGGGGGTGTGCTGGAAGAGGAGAATGGGTGGCGTGTGTTATGGGATTGATTGATTGATGAAGATTAAGCCACCCAAGAGGTGGCACGGGCATGAATAGCCCGTAAGTGGTGGCCCTTTTGAGCCATTACGAGTATCAAGAGCTGATACTGGAGATCTGTGGAGGTGCAACTGCACCCTGTGTGACGGGAGATGTCTCCCCCGTGGTGACACGGGCCCGTAATGTATTATGGGAGGAGGGGGGGGGGATATACAATCTCCTAGGCCCGTCACTGTATCATGCTGGGCCGGGCGGGTCTGATATGCATTAATGTGGATGTTATCAAGCACTGGATTTAGTGCAGTGTTATCTGGTGTTGACGTATCAAGTAGGGGAAGAGACGCATGTGGCCAGGCTCTCCTCTCCGTAGCTGTGTGTGGTGGTGACTGGAGGGTGTGTGTGTGTGGGGGGGGGAGCAAAAGGCCATAAGTGAAATAGAGAGAACCCGAAATACGCAGACGATGAGTCACAATAACGTGGCTGAAGTATGTTGACCAGACCACACACTATAAAGTGAAGGGACGACGACGTTTCGATCCGTCCTGGACTATTCTCAAGTCATCTACTTGAGAATGGTCCATGACGGACCGAAACGTCGTCGTCCTTTCACTTTCTAGTGTGTGGTCTGGTCAACAACCCGAAATACTTTTTCTCGTATGCAAAAACTGCATCCACCATTGGCCCTTAAAAGTTCCGGTGATGGAGCTTTCACAGATGACAACAAAGAAATGAGTTAAATACTGAGGCTTCAGTACGATTCTGTTTACAGTGAACTCCGGATCACATTGAAGATGGCTGATCCAAATGAATGAATGTGACACCAACAGTGAATCACTTAACAGCTGTCACCCTAACCCCTACTGGACTTTGAATTAGACAGCATGCACTCAGCACCAGGCCCAGACTCGTGGAATTCTATATTCCTCAAGAAGTGCAATACACCACTATCGCAGGCCCTAAACATCTTCTGTAGACGGAGCCTAGATACTGGCGTCATGCCTAACATACTTAAAACAGCAGAGACCGCGCCACTTCACAAAGGTATTGTTTGAAGTACTCACTGAAGTGAGTACTGCTCAGTACTCACTTCCTCCTCCAGAGCGGGAGAGATTACTGAAATAGAGGGAATACAGAGAACACATACGGCATACATAGACGCGATAAAGCACCTAAATTATTGGAATGGTCTCAAAGCTCTCCAAATGTACTTCACTAGAAAGGAGACGAGAGCGATATCAAATAATATACATGTGGCCCTGGAGGAGGGCCCTGGAGGAGGGCCCTGGAGGAGGGCCCTGGAGGGGGCCCTGGAGGGCCAGGTACCAAATCTACACAGTAAAATAACAACGTACTGGAGTGAACGATATGGACAAAATGCAGAATAGAACCAGTGAAGAGCAGGGGTGCCATAGGCACAATCAGAGAACACTGTATAAACATCAGAGGTCCGCGGTTGTTCAACACCCTCCCAGCGAGTATAAGAAATATTGCTGGAACAATGTGGATTTTTTCAATAAAGTTTTTAGTTTCCTGCAAGGCGTAGCCACCGGGCTGTAGTTGATATGTGGGCCTGCGGCCTGCTACAAACAACAGTCTGTTTGATAGAGGAGTCTCACAAGTCAGGCCTGATATCTTCCCCCAGGCCGGACTTGGAGGGTAGAACAACCAACCCCCAGAATTCACTCCTGGTGCACTTTGGGAACGTTGTCTTGTTAACGAATTAGTTAAGTCCGTCGGAAATGCGACGTATTTTAAGCGAGAGGACAGGTTGAGTTATGAAAGTGTCTCCTACACCCCCCCCCCCCCCACAATCACTCCTAGCCACACACTCACATTGGGCTTGGTAGCCTGGTGGATAGCGCGCAGGGCTCGTAATTCTGTGGCGCGGGTCCGATTCCCACACCAAGCAGAAACAAATGGGCAAAGGTTCTATCACCCTGAATGCCCCTGTTACCTAGCAGTAAATAAGGTACCTGGGAGTTAGTCAGCTGTCACGGGCCGCTTCCTGGCGTGTGTGTGTGTGTGATTGGTGTGGGGGGGGGGGAATTAGTTAGTAAACAGTTGATTGACAGTTGAGAGGCGGGCCGAAAGAGCAAAGCTCAAATCCCGCAAACACAACTAGGTGAATACACACTCTCTCCAATCACTCCCTCTCTCCGCCCCTTTCTTCAATCACCCCCCCCCCCCACCCCTCTCTCCGCCCCTTTCTTCAATCACCCCCCCACCCCTCTCTCCGCCCCTTTCTTCAATCACCCCCCCCCCCCCCCGCCCCTCTCTCTACACACAACCCCCCTCTCTCTCTACACTCCCCCCCTTTCTCCAACGCAACACTCCCTCTCCAACGTATCCCCCGCTAACCCCCCCCCCCTTCCTTCTCCAACTTTCACCCCTGACACCCCCCCCCCCCCTCCCCCAGTCCCGAGAGGGTGGAGGTGGTGGGGTGTGTGGGCTGGCGGAGCCTGGCACTAGGGCTCGCGGCTACAACCAAACACCACTACGTTTGTCAGGCTTTATGTTCCATTGGCATTTTAGAGGATTGAACCGTGTTTTCATTTCGCGTATACTATCAGATTCTGGTGTGTCGTATTTTCAATCTC